GAGGGACTCCCTCGTTGGGAGCCCAGAACGGATATGCCCGAACTTGCCCCAACCCGAAGACATCCTCGGTCTGGTTGACGCCGTCCCTCCCCATACCATCCGCGAGATGCCCGTTCTCGTCCGCTTTCTTGGAGTAATACGTGGTGGAGTTCATGCCAAGTGGTCGTAGGATAAAGTCGTTCACATATGTTTCGAACGGGACTCCGGCGAGCAACTGCGGGAAGTACGAAATGAGGGTGTACATATGGTTGTTATACTGCCATTGTTCGCGGAACCCGGTCGAGGGTTTGAGGTATCGTAGGCGGCGAATCTGAGGCCATTCAGGAGAGGAATCGATATAAGACGATGAGCTCACATTCTCAGACGGAAAGTCCGGCGTGAAAATAAAGTCATGCCGCGGTAGACCAGTGCGATGGCTCATCACATCCATGATGGTGCTCTGAGACGACGCGACGGGGTCCATTAGTTGCCATTCCGGCACAAAAGACGCGATTTTCGTCTCCCAAGAAATTCGAGGAGACAGCGTCTCGTTCGAAATCAGGAGTCCGGTTGCCAGTATATCGAACAGCTGGTTTCCGCCGTCAGCAAAGACTGAACCGGTGGCCAAATCGTGCAACTTGCCTTTGAATTCGACCCGATAGCGAACATGGTATCCGAGGTAACTTTAGTGCCATCCACTTTCGCGAAGCCGTACCCTTTGGTTTCGACGGTCCATCCGCCGGAATCTGGGTTCTTCTGCACGACAGCGACCCCAACGCCGCCAGGGGAGTTGAAATCCTTCAATATCGCGTCGATGGCCGCGTCAAGCTTCTTGTGGAGTATCTTTCCGCGCGCCGAGTCGCCAGACACCGTGAATGGCTGCTGTGACTGGAAAGTGGATGCGGCGAAGGGAACAGTCCCTAGAAGGAGGGCGCAAAGTGGGAGATGCATGGTGTAGTAAGGCTGCAGCAGCGCAGAAGTTAAGGCACTACGCCGACTGGGTCGCAGCAGATGGTTGTCAAATGTATGATGGCGATTATGAATGGCGTCTAAATGAGGATACTAGGAATGGCGAAAAAGAAGAACCAGCGCATACTTATGGGCCGAAGCTGAAGGCGTCCGAGGGCAATATGGAGGAGGAGGTGATCAATGGAGCGCTGGTCAAACACTATGATTAATGTAAGGTGCTACCATATTCTAGCATGTTCGCTCGCAGATACTAGTACAAAAAGTATCTTCGCCGCTCGGACATGCTTGAGTGGGCCAAGCTATGCGAGGAACGCAGTTGTGCGGCCTGCGGCATTAAATACGTCCGAACAATACTATATAAAACTTTAACTATCGCTGTCCGAGTTGGCGGCCAGGAATCCAGGGTTTGAATACCCATCCGCCGACGAATCTGTATCGGATTCATCATCCGTTTGCGACTCCTCGAGGAACGGCTCGGTGGTAGCCAGTTTTCCATTGACATCGAAATTCAATGTCGCGACTGAGGGAAGAGCGGCGCGGTAGTCGAGATGAGATGCGGGGTCGGCGTTGGGAATACACAACTCCTCCAAGCTGCACCCTGATCTTGATACGAGCGATTGAATGGCGACGGGACCAAGGAGACAGTGCGAGACCTGGAGCCGTCGAAGGGCCGGAAGGGTCAATGCACGGACCATACTCTCCCGGGGGAAGGGAGCCCGATAGATCATAAAAATGAGGGTTTCCAGGTGCGACAGTGTTACACCACTCCAGCTGAAAAGGTCCGGGTTAGAAAGGGTGTCTGGATATGGACTATGCTTTCACCTAGCATCGAAGGTCTCCATTGATTCGTTGATAAAATCGCAGTAAAGGTACACAATGTCGACCAGCTGAGTTAGAATGTAAGCACCCTGGTCCAGCGTGAGCCGATGCACGGACAGGACGGTGAGTTGGGACCACGGGAAAATGGAACGATGGGCATCTCAATACATATGAATGGACACCTTTTGCAAGAGCGGTGCCGCAAGGAAAGTCGCGGTGGCGGTCGTCAAGCCCACATAACCCGACCCAAGCTTCAAGGTGCGAATATAAGGCAGAAGAAGGTCGTCAGTCGGGAGAGCATCCAGGGGCTGAAAGATGTTCAGTGCCAGATGCTCCAAACGGGCACAGTGCTCTGCAATTGTTTGACCAAATTGGGCTAGCTCTGAGCCCTCCACCGAGTCGCTTGTCAGCTCGATTGAGAGAAGGCATGAACCGGAATGCTTCGACGAAGCTTCCAGGAGATGGAGAGCCTGTGTCAATCTCTCCGAATTCCGCAAGGGCAACGAGATTGCGCGCCAAAGGGCTGGAGTGGCAAACACTATGTCCCTCCATTTCCCACAGATCTGGCACAATAAGTACGGGGAGAGCAGACCGATTGGCGAAGGGCACTTTGGGTAGATTGGAAGGAAGTGCACGATAATTTCGGAGGTGATTTCGTTCGGTAAAGTCAAGACAGGATATGTGTAAGCGTCGAGTCGACCCTGGGCGGATTTCCTCTTCTCCTTCAGGGAGCTTATGGTGGACTCCGACTCAATAATCTGGGCATCCATGTTTGCAACGCAGGCACGATCAGCTCCGCGCGCAGCTTTTTCGCTAGGCGCAGAACCCATATATAAGCGGTCCATGGTCGGAGAATCGTTCTAGATGAAGAAAGGGAGCGTGAGTGGTGGTTACACCCGTGAATATATCGTACATACGCTGAGTAAGTACTATGTAGGCAACTGCCAGCAGGGGAAGAGCAGCCAGCGGTTTGCCAGCGGGTGATCGGTGAGTGGTCAACGGATCACATCCTCTGAGATTGGGGCGGCGAGAGTCAGAACTTCATCAAGTCCGACCGTTAGGACATTCGGCACAATCAACGGTGACGGAGACCGACGTAGACACGCGTCGGGCCTTGCAATAGCCTGATAGCCGCTGAGTGGCGCCACAAAAAAAATCCAAGGGCGGCGGTATCAGGCTCCAGTGTTACGAGGAGATCCGGAGTCAATCGAGGGCTGAACTCGATTCTGCTGGCGCTGGAGCTAGATTAATATATTCCCTCTGCCTCGTACAACCCTGCCAGTGCTGACTGTGGATCCAGATGGCGGGTCAAGACTCAAAAGTCGCTCTCGCTGTTCTTTGTGCTGCGAAAATCTGATTCTCCACTGGGTCATCGGGGACGGAGAAGGCGGAGGCTCTCAATCATGATCAAAGGCGGTCCGGCTGAGAACTTTTGTGTTTTTTTTCTGTGACGTGGCAGATGAGGGGACACGAGCGTTGTGGTGCAATAGACGGCGCCGACATTTTGCAAGCCGTCAGATGAAAGTCAGAGATGAGTGTCTTGTAACAGAGGTCGGACGATGCACGTCGGAAGCGTGTGTTTCAACTTCCAAACCGGGAACTACCTCCTGCTGTCAGCCACCATGTCAATGGGCTTAAAATTTCGCCCCTTGCTCCTTTCTCCATCTTCCTTTCCTTCCCGTATGCCTCCATGTCCGACCAAAATCTGGAGGACGTCCCCCATCCCACTGGTCTGAGAGCGCAGCTGCACCATCTCCTCCCCCGCCATGCGCTCTTCCAAGTACGCATCCTTATCCATCAGCTGGCCAGCGTGCCCCTCGTGCACGGCGAATTTGGCGTCCAGTGGAAATTCAAGAACACACACAAGGTCAAGGGGAAGGGGAAGGATAAGGCCCCTGAGCACGACGGCGACGAGGACAGCTTCGGCAGCAACGAGGCGCCTCCACTGGATGTGCCGTCCGAAAGCCAATCGACGTCGGCTTCTGGCGTCTTTAATGCGGATGAAGGCCAGGACGTCGTCTCGACGCGCGGCCAAACCCCCTGGCTACCTCTCCGAGACCACGCCGTCACGTGGGACCAGCCACTCTCAGCGGTGGTGCAGATGTCCATTGACCGCGACACCCACCGACTCCTCCCGCACCCCTTCAAGCTGAAGGTCATGCAGAGGGTCATCGCAGGGGACCCCGATGCGCCGCGTAACCCGCGACTCGGTGTAGTGGAGCTCGATCTGGCAGAGTACGCCGATAGCGTCCCCATGTCGGCTGCGAGCAAGGGAACCGTCACCCGCCGCTATCTTTTACGCGACAGCAAGACCAACGCCACGCTGCGCCTGTCTATTCGTGTCGAGCCCACAGGCTCGCCCACGCCGTTCATGGCACCCGCCCTGCCAAACGGCGAAATCCTCGCGGGCGTCTCGACCCTGTTGTCGACCCACGCAGACCTGTACCGCACCCGCCCGCACGCGCTCGACTTGTACGCGCCGGTCGAAACGCCCGTGTCGCCGAGCCCAACGCCCACTTTCGATATCCGCGCCCTCCCCCGCGCCTCCGGGCCGCGCACCACCGAGTCCCTCATCGACGCGCTCTTCAACCCCGCCCCCGTGCGCGACGCGCGGCTCGTCAGCCCGTTCACGCGCCTCGTGGCGGACGGAGAGCCGTACATGTCCGCAGACAGTGCGTCGCTGACGACGAGCTCAAGTGCGCCGAGCTTCGTCACTTCGGATCCCCCGAGCTTCCTCACCGCCGACCCGAATGCGAGCGCGACTCTCACGCCGGAACGCACGCATTGGTGGCAGCGCAGCCGGTCTCGGAGTCGGAGTCGGAGCAGGAGCCGCGCGCGGACGCAGGTCGCGGTGGCGTAGTCCCCCAGTTCTTAGGTTTTCCCTCTTGCTCTGCATATGCTATCTGTCTTATAATCGCTTTGTATCTTTTGGCACGTATACCACTCGGATAGGATGTACACTATATTTTCGCAAACGAGAAATACATGTTCCTCAGTGCTTTCTTCGAGCCGTGAGTGGGCTCTAGCCGCTCTCTCTTGTCTGCTCAGTTATGTACTGCGCAGCCGCATTCACCTGCGCTCGTCACGGTGGGGTTTCCTCCCATCTTCCGCCCGCCCACTCGCGCACTTCATCCACGCAAACGATTTGAAGAAGAAAAAATCAAAGTCCGTTTACTTCCTTCCCTCAAGGCGATTTCCCGCATCATCCCAGCGCCATCCTGGCTCTCTACAACGCATCAGTGGTGTAGCGGTAACATTGGGTCTTCCCATTGGAATTTAAAGCCCAAAAATTGGCCTAGCTCCGGGTTCGACTCCCGGCTGATGCATTCCCTACGTGGTGTAGAGTTTTTAGTCCTTCGTTGTCCACTCTCACTCTCCTTCTTTTTTAATTCTCGTACGCGTGCACCCGGAGCTTATGAAAAACCACCCTACCATGCCGAAGCTTAAGTTTGATCGGACTTCTCCGGTGCACTTTCCCTCTTGCTTTGCTTTCTCGCAGTGCACAGTCTAAAAGTTCTGCACAAAGGTCCGCAAATGCTTGATATTCTCGACCCGCATGCTCAGACATGATAGCCTCAACACCGGGGGTTGCACCCATGACTCCGACAGCCAGCGAGAGCGCGTCCCTTGCTTCCGCTCGTGCACGTATCACTGAAATACGAGCCCAGCTGCTGCAGCTGCAGGAGACATTTGAGCGTCTTCAAGACGAGCAGGCTTCTCTACAGGACGAACTGGACGACTACATCTATCCAGTCTTGACTTTGCCCAACGAAATCATGTCGGAAATCTTCGTGCACTTAGACTTCCTTCCGGTGTACCCAACACGCCCCCGGAAAACTGGTCTGCTCTCTCCGGTCCTCTTGTGCCAGATCTGTCGGGCGTGGAGGGAAATAGCGCTGTCCACGCCAGCGCTCTGGCGCGCAGTCGGCGTGTCCCCTCCGAAGGACATGACTTCTACCAAACTCGAGGCAGAATTGCGCGCGCTGGAAACCTGGCTGACACGCTCGCGCTCTTGCCCGCTCTCCATCAAAATCGAATCAGCAATATTTGGCCATCGGGTACTGCCCCTGTTCATCGAGGCTATCGTGTCGCACTGTGCGTGTTGGGAACATATGAAACTCTTCGGGCCTTTGGCCTATTTTCGCTCTATCGAGGGGCCGCTGCCTCTACTCCGTAGCTTGGCCATCGGTTTCTCGACTCAGATGGGTCACGCCCCGGTCATCGTTTTCCACAAGGCACCCCTCCTGCGCAAGCTTACCCTCTCATTATACTTGGACCATTACACTTCAATGATACCCTGGTCACAATTGACTGTACTTATCGTCCATATCATTCAGCCTCACGAATGTGGGCTCATTCTGAATCTTACGCCCCGCCTTGTTCAATGCAGGCTCATAGTTGGCGAATCAAAGGAACTGACGCAGTACGAGCATATGCACAATCTCGACTTACCAGCAACTGACCCTGTCATAGCACTCCTCAACCGCCGATGACTCTCCTGCACTTGGAAATGCTCGTCCTGCAGGTCCGGCATGCGCACGATGAAGCGGACGGGCTCTTCGATTCCTTAACGCTACCGGCGCTTCGAAGGCTTCAGGTTTCGGCGAGCCTCCTTCAGCCAGGACCCGTCGCTAGCCTCCGGACATTGATGTCACGATCAGCTTGTCCCCTGCAGCGAGTGCACACCATTGGCCCAACTGGGACCCTTGACGCATGCGAGCCGTGTCGAAAGACATGGCGGACAGTCCGATTCAGTTGTGGTCCCCATCTGGATCGCAAACCGATGTTCTCTCGGAATTATGGCGTTCCGAGGCGGGATTATGGTTCTGTCAACAGTCTTGATCTGGAGGAGATAGATAGCCACGAAGAAGAGACCGTCTGGAAAGAACCCTCAGCCTGGGGACATTCAGAGTCATCGAGCGGGGACGACTCAAACTCTGAAGAGTAAAGGATATTCTGATGGCGAGGGCACTTGCCCATGGGCGAAGAGAAGGTTCTCCGTTGTTTTCCTGGCCTTAACGTTTAACTTTTGACCACACTTGCTTCGTGAACGCAGCCAACATCGGAAAGCCCCAACATCGAGTCATACTTCCACCGTGCTCACGCGGAACGTTGATATTTGGGCACAACGCGAAAAAATTGTGCGGCCCTTTCTGACCAGCGGGACCCTACATCTACGTAACCTACATCTGCATATGACGCACGATGCTCAAAATTATTCTGAAATTCTGAGTCTAATGTCTTTCGCATGAGTAACTCTGTTTGGGCGAATTTCTGAGAGCGATTGGCCGGCCAACCCACATTTAAAGTCATGTACCAACAAGTCCGATCATTTATTTCCTGTCCCTCACTGTCCCAATTCAAAGTGCGGTGGACTGGCGGAGAGTATCCATGCACAGACTCGAGTTCCGAATATCGCGAAGATACAAAGTCTTGTAAGTTACCCAGCGACCGCTCGTTCACACATTGCCAATTGTCCGTCATCCGGATCCGCCTTATAATGTGCATTCCACTCCCACTCTACGACTCTGAAGAGTCAGAATCGGAATCATCCCAGATCTTGGGTTCCTTCCAGACAGCCTCTTCTTCGTCGCTATCATAATCCACGTCTCTGTACCGTGATAAGACATAATCCTTCTTTCGAAAGAAAAATGTCCTGGGTTCCAGTTGAGCGCCACAGGTGAATCGCACTGTCGGCCATTCCTTTCGACACGGTTTGCAGACGTCGCCGCGTCCATCGGAATCAATGAAGTGCACTCGTTGCAGGCGACAGCTTGATCGTGATATCAGACCTCGAAGGCTAGGGACTGGTCCTCGCGAGAGGAATTCCGTTGAGATCTGCAGCTTGCGAAGCGCCGGGAGCGTCAAGAAACCGAAAATTCCGGGTACTCCATGCCCGTCCCAGCGGTCGACTGCCAGGACGAGTGTTTCGAGGAGCGGTAGCGTTATCGAGCCAGCACTGTCAAGATGATGTCGGTCAAGGAAAGATAGAACGTAGTGAATGTGTGCACCTCATTGGCAGCTGTTCCTCTGCTTCATGGAGCACAAGCCTGCAATGAATGAGCCGAGGACTGAGATGCAAAATGGGTCCGCATTGGGCCGCCTTGATCCCGTGAACGGTAAGGACGGTCAATTGTGACCAGGGTACGATGGCAAGGTACCAGTCATCATAAAATTGGACCGCAACCTTGCGCAGGAGAGGCGCAGTATGGAGGAGAGCCAAATCATCCGACTGGCCCAAGCCCCCGATTGTCAAGCTGCGGAGTGAGGACAATGGACCCTCGATAGCATATAGTTCTGATCTGGACCCCGGCCAGAGTTTCAGATGCTCCCAACGGGCACAGTGCGGTGCAATGGCCTTGATGAATGGGGCCAGAGCTTGCGTGTCGATGAGCCCGGGTACAAGCTTGATGGAGAGCGGGCAAGACCCCGAGCGCGTCAGCGAGCTTTCCAGCCATCGCAATTCTCTATTGGATTTCTCCGGTCCCACAAAATTCGAGATGGACACGCCAACTGCGCGCCAGAGCGCTGGGGTTGACAGCGCTATTTCCCTCCAAGCCCGGCAAATCTGGCACAGGAGGATAGGAGATAGCAGACCGGTTTTACGCGGACGTGCTGGGTACACCGGAAGGAAGTGGACGAATATCTCCGATATGATTTCGTTGGGCAAAGTCAAAACTGGATAGGTGTAGTCATCGAGTTCGTCCTGTAATGAGGCCTGTTCCTCTTGAAGAATCTCAAAGGTCTCCTGTAGCTGCAGGAGTTGGGCCCGGATGTCTGCGATGCGCGCACGAGCGGAAGCAAGGGACGCGCTCTCGCTGGGTGTTGTCTTCATCCAGTGCGCGGTTTGAAGAAAAGACCGTTCGGAAGATGCCGAATCACACTGCCATTGCCAAATTCGGGAATCCGCTTTCCCCGGAGGCTCTTCCTCTAGTCTTCCTCCCAACCTCATTCCGTGCTCAGACACGATACTCTAACACCGACAAGAGCATTGCACCCTGGGCCCTAGGACCGATTAGCCACACGTTATGCTTCGGTCGGAAAAATGGTCTGTGCGCTGGTGCCAAGTGATCATCGCCGGACTTTTTTCGACGTGTCCAAACGCCTCCATGTCTGAGAGTTCAAGCTGGTTCAAGTGCTCTACGCTATGTACGCTCTTGACTACCCTTCGCCGAGATCGTCCTACCCCGCAATCTCCGCATTCAAGCGACAAACTCTTGGCGGTGCGCATGTGCGGCGCCTCAACGTGATCTTTTTTGTTGATCCATCCGACTTGGATGGCGACAATCTCGCGTGGTATGCGGTTGCCACACAGCGAGATCAAGTTCCGCGCATGGGCAGGAAGCATCCGTCCCGCATATAAAAGGACTGGCGAACGACCATTGTTCTAGCTTCCGGTCCCTTTCGCGCAAGCAATGCTCTCTTGCGTCGTTCTCCTCCTAGGCCTTTCCTCGTCCTCGTTGGCCGGGGTTACGGTTCAGTTGCCTGGACTGGTCGTACCTGCCGAGTATGCTTCGCGTCGTGAAGATGCGCAAAAATTGTTCACCACAAGTTACAATGCCTACAAGTGAGTTTCCGAATCGGACGCGCTGGAGTTGAAGCCTGATGTCGCGACAGGCAGTTTGCTTTCGGTCATGACGACTTATCGCCCGTAAGCCAAGGCTTCTCGGATGGCCGCAGTAGGTCCCAAGCACCGGAGATACTTTCAACCCGTTGATTCCGCCCATAGATGGTTGGGGAGCGTCGATCGTGGACGCGATGGTATGTGTTTGTGATTAATCCTTGGAATACTTAATGAAAAGTTTCTATTATTAGCCTACCATGGTGCGTACCTCGAGCATTTGTACGTCCTTATTGCTCACCGGAGGATGCAGGTTGTCATGGGACTAGAGGTGACTTCCGACTTGCAATTGTCCGCCACCATCATCAACATTTTCTCCTAGGATATCTTCGAAGAGGCTGTCAACTTCTCGAGCCAAATCGATTTCAGCAAATCTCAGACGGGAGATACTGTGTCCCTTTTCGAAACGACTATTCGTTACGTCGGCGGCCTCTTGTCCTCGTACGAACTCAGTGGCCAAAAATTCCCGATCCTCGTCGAAAAGGCTAAGGAAGTTGCGGACAAAATGGCCTTCGCGTGGGTTGGAGTGCGTGTTCCGTTCTCCTGTGTAGCCTGTAATACTTATTTTGAGCCTAGGACAATGCCATGCCTTACGGTTTCATGGATTTCAGCACCAACACCCCTCAGGTCTCCACTGCACGTAATCCCCGTTTCCTTATTTGCGCAATAGTTAACCGATTTCTATAGTCTAACATCGCTGAAGCG